ACGCCCTACCAGGTGAGGTCTACATCCATTGTTCAATCTCCCGTGTATACAAAGAGATACAGCCTCCTAGCTAAAAAATAAAAAGAAAAAAATATAGAGTCTAAGCAATCCCATCTTTTACTATCCTTTTTTTTTTTTGTTAGAAAGTAACTTCATCTAGTGACTAAGGTTTATTTTGTAAAAATGACTTGTACTAAGCAAGATTAGTACTTTCTTCATAAAATATCATAACAGCAAACCATTAGCAGTGTGGATCAAGACTTATCCTATTTATACATGACAACATGTTTCCAGAGATTCAACTGAGCATTCCAATAATTAAATGCAGGAATAATGTTATATGGAATCAGTGGCACACGGAAGGAAGAAAGCTGACGTTTCAACCTTTACCAGAAAATGTTATAAGATCAGCAACATCGAAAATTTAAAACTTATATATATATGCACTTAGTAATTACAAAATAAGAAACCTGAACAAAAAGCTAGTATCCATCAGAATGTTTTTGTAACAAAACTAATTGCACAATAACTTCTAGATAGACCTAAAAATCTGAAAGGTGTGAAAATTATCCTTCCTAATAAAAAGCTCAAACATAATGCAAGCGCATACACACCACTGAAATTGATATGCAAAACTTGCAAAAAGATCCTATATGCCCTTCATGAGAGTCCAACGATTCTGTTACCTTACTTGAGATTATAAACTTTTAATTGCTATAAAAGTTTTGTTTATTCAGCCAAAGGAAGTGTTTCCTCAGTCAATCATACAGTAATGGAATAATACAAGGGCATGAAAGAACATATTTAAAATGACTTAGATAAGTAGTGTAAAAATACTGTGTACAGAGAAAACTATTCAGGGAAAAGTTTGGCTTGGGGGGGGGGGATATTCTTCCATGACTCCAGAAAATGCAACTATGATTTAACAAAAACAGTGTTCCTTGACTCAACACTTATCCACAATGAGAGATTGTGTCAGAAATTTAAAGTAAACTACATGCAATCCAGTATCTTCCAACTATATGCTTAACATATCACTAATCATTTCAATTACATGGATAGTTTACATGCCCAACACCACAGCATTAAACCCAAATCTTCTCCATATCTAACTCAACCTCCTGTCAGTTACTTTTTTCTTCTTGACAGGAGATCGAAGAATTTATCAGCAGAACTGGTGAGAGCCTAGCATAAAATGGTCTATCATCCAAAAATAGATAATCTGCTGTATGCTTGGATGAAAGAAAGGTAAATGAAAAAAATATTACTGATTTTTAAACAAGATAAGAATATTTCATTGATATACCTCTTCTTCTCCTCTTCTTCTTTTTTCAGTTTGTCACTGGCAGTTCTATGGTCTAATGATCCAAGACTTGGACTAGAAGATTTACGAGGAGGAGACAGTGACGAACTCCTACTCCTCTGTCTCTTATAACGTCTTGTAGTTGGAGAACGGCTTCTATGACGTCTTGTGGTAGGAGAACGACTTCTGCGATACCGAGGTGAAATAGACCGGCTTTTTCGTCTGTACAATAGCATGCATACCATTGAGCAACAGCCAAATAATTTAGGACTACTAAATGCATGATTCTAAGCATCGAAGCACCCTACCATTTTGCACAATAAATATAAGAGCATGTACAGTTACCTCATACATTGTTTAGAATAATCAGCTCCATCTTTTATCACATGAAGAAGCTAAGTCACAATCGAGCAACGAAAAGGACACCCATCGGCACCCATCACCTGCTCACTTCCCATCCCATTTGATAGGAAGAAACCGAGTTTTTTAAAATTTTCTAACAATGAACAGGCAGCCTCTCTCAAAACACTAGATTATTCTCCAAATATCCAATTTTTTTTACATCATTAGAACTTTCCACGGAAAATGATGGTTCCCCATATTCATGAGCCCATATGAATTCTCGCTTCCATGTCAAGCAACATAGTCATCAACTTCTTTCAATAAAATCAGCGACATAAGTTTATTTCCAAAGAACTTGAAGAAAAGACCCAAAACAGCACTATCCGCAAGTATACTAAAAGCCGAAAAAAAGACCACTCAATCATATAACGAAGAAGGGAGCCAAATAATGAAAATCTTCCTTGAAAAGTTGCAAGGTAAAACAATACTGTATGGAACACGAGCCTTGAAGTGCACATAATCAAAGGATAAAGACCAAGATTTTCTGCATTTGCACTACAAGATAGAAGCCATCAAACCTTCAACAAATAACAAAGAGAACAGATACATTCACTACATACAGTAAACAAATTCTTTCCCTGCTCATACTTGATTTTGTTGTTATCAACTTAAATAGTGCCAAGTTTCTTTATACAGCATTTCAACAGCGCAAATACCTCAAATTTGGCATTCAAACCACCCAGCGTGTGCCCAATTCAAACTCAGGACTGAACTTATGAACTTTAAATATAAAGTGGTAATATAAAATATAAAAATCCCTTCTTGAAGGGCAATCATCAAAGTATTTACTTGAGCTTTATAAGGTTTCAGAAAATCCTGAAATATATAAGAGAATCACAAGAAGAACAATTAAGAAGGATAAGATGCATACAGATCAACTTGAACAGTTTGTGCTTCCATTCTATAAGACAATTTTGAAAGTTCCCAATATATCTTAGTTCTTACAATTGTATTGACATAACTTGAAGTAACATAAACATATAGCAAACAATAAATACGGGATCACCTGCTATGAGAATATGATGAATATGGAGAAATGCTTCTGTCTCTTCGGCTCCTCCTGCTATATCTGTCCCTCCGCCTATATGAAGGTGAACGAGATCGTGACCTTGATAAGTCTCTAGGCATCTCCTACAACTCCAATGTATCTATTCTAGGTTTATAAATATTAAGCCACAAAATACTAGTGATTTGCCTGCAGAAATCAATTCAACATCAAATTAAAAAAACAAACATGTTTCTTCCAGAGAACGAACAAGAGAAGTACATGAACAAGAACACCGGCGAATGAACTTTTTTGGTACCTATACAAATCAACCTATGAAGACAGCAAATTTAATTTGAGATGACAAAACCAACAGAATTTCCTTCTTCCAAGTTTCCCAAAAAGTGAACAAAAACTGGATTAATCAATAACTGCGTTCTTGATTGCTGTTTAACATAATAAGATTGTCAACAGTTACCTAGCAATATATCATACTAAGCAGCAGCAACAGCAATAATAACAACAGTTCACCCAAAAATTCAACATCGGATAACCGCTTTG